ACCAAAACTTCGATTTTCCCGAAACTTGGCATCAAATCGGTGAAAGCCACCAATGCCTTGAAAGATCCTTCTTGTCAGTGAAAGAATTACTGGAAAAAACTATTCAAGGCCATTCCAAGGACCGCGAAGTGGTGGAAGATGTTCCACCACCTCATGGTAACCTGTGAAGGTTGCGCAGGAGAATGGTAAACTGAGAAATTCGTGCAGGAGACATTATGAACCTTTCCCCTCCCCTCCCCGCGCGAAGATTCCTCATTAGAGTTGTCTTGGTGAGTTTGCACTCAGAAGTAGGGAGACCTCACTAAGTGGCGGTACGGGGTAAGAACAGCGCTGTCCACTCAAATAATAAGAAGTATAATCAGTGTGATGTGGAAAGTAAAGGGTCCGCTTGCGTGATACTCGCTGGCTCTAGGCTTGTGTACAACGTTGGTATTGGGTAGGTCACGAGACTAATGCTGCGTGAAGTCAATTTTGAAACATACGTAGGGATCTCCCCTTTCTTTCTTTCATCGTTGGAAAATAGGGCTCCTCAGTCAGAGGTAACGATTCTACTCAAAGGATGTCGTATCGAAGGTTGAAGCCCGTTTGTAGCGTTTTGAAGACAATATGGGGGATAACCACTCCGATCATGACGATTTGCAAAGACTCGTGGGGAAAGACCAACCCTGCCACTGGCAAGCTTGCTGGATCAAAACCGCGTGTAGGCTAAGATTTGCGCACACGTCCGTTTCTCACCTATTGTCAGCATCTCTTCTAATGCTGCGTTCGAGTGATCGTGATGCGCAGGAAAAATCCCGTTGCGAAAACCTATCACTCAGGGTTCAAGTCCGGTAATGGCGCAAGTGCAATCAGGAACTAGGATTATTTCCATGCTTCTGCATCCGCATTCATCGTCGATAGGAAAAACCAACACAACTTATTACAATTGTGGCATTTTCTACCATACTAGATCTCTGAAGGAGAGCATTCTATGAGCAGTGTCGAAGTACGAAACAATTTCGACAAATGGGAGGTCATTCTGTTTTGGTCCAACTCCGACCATGGGCTACAGCTGGTCATGCACCCCAGAAGGCAACATGAACGCCGCAGAGATTAAGTGGAATGCCCTGATGGTGGAACATCTTCCACCACTTCGCGGTCCTTGGAATGGCAAGGGACGTGAGGCCCTACAAGTGGAAGAGCTGAGGACCCAACATATCACGTTTTGAAGGAAAGAAGAACCTGTCGACTTCAACTCATACGGGTCTCCTTGTCCATCACCAGCTTAGGAATAGTGACTGGTGGTCCTGTAATGAATATGATACCTACTTTCAACGTTGGTGCTAACTGGAAAAAAATTGTAGGCTTCATTAAAATGCAAAAATTCTGTCATCACGGGAATCTATCCATGAACCACTTTCCCACGAATTGTTTGGCCTTGAGAGGGCCGTTTAGAGAAATTGGACCCTAGCTTTGGAGTTCTCGCACAAGTTTCTATAAATTGCAAGAAAACCGTTCCGAAAAAACGCGGTTTGCCCTGAAAATCTTCCCTTGTAAGTTCCGAGACTGTCGTGAATCGGACTTGGAGCAGAAACCTACGGCACTATATGTACCAGCGTAACCTCGTATGGCATACTTTTGCTTTGGAGATATTGAAGTCCCCCAATGCGTCCAAAGCACTTGGTCGATCCTCTCCGAGTGTCAAAAAGATCCAAATCTTGTCGTACGTCAGAAAAACTCTTTAGGAGAGGATCTTTCTCGTTGTGCAACAGAGACGTCGATAAACGCTCACACTATCGGCTACACTATTGCATAACCAACTCGTAAAAAATCCATTAGTCCACTTTTCTCGGCCTCAATTTTCGAAAAAACATTCAGGCTAGTTTCGGACGGCGCTAAGTGTGTTTCCATTCATCAGCTCATTTATGTTAGAACCAGTTTAGCTCCGCACGCAACCGCGCGCATCACATGGTAGGCTTTAGTGAAACTGGACAACTTGCTGAATATTAGGTCACGTGGCTGAGAAACTAACAGTAAGATGTTGGAAGATGTGTCACATGAATTTCAAAGGCTGTCCAATTTTGCTGAAGATTGTCGCGTAATGCGCGCAGTAGCATGCGGAATGAAAATGGTACTTATCATGACTTCGTAAACATTTAGCATTGATATCGAGCTCGGGCGATTTAGCGGTTTATAGAATTTCCACAATTGAAGAATCGGTGTGTAAGTGAAATATAACCAATCAATCAGCATCTAACCGAGCTATGATGGAAATTGGAAATATGATGGAAATTCGCTATTGGTCCAAGTCCAGATAGTTGAGCAGCTCAACTTTCTTTGCTTCTTTAGATGAAAGGTAGGAATGGAACATATTCACGTGCTAGGGACCTGGTTTAGTTCAATTGAGTGCACGCTCAACTGTCGCTACTTTTATCAGTACAGTTGCCGCTCATACCACTTTCTGTCACCTACATTCAACCCTCGCCACCTTGATCGCTTGCGAGTGATCGCAATCGCTGTCCCGGTCCCAACCTCCACGCAACGTGTAGGAGCTAATATTCACTGTCAAAATCCTAACTTCCTTATCAACCGTTATCGCTTGTTATCACTTCTGATCATCCGCGTGTTCCCGTCCCATCCCCTATACCACATGTGAGAGCCAAGGTTCCAATGTAACCGCAAGGGCCGCAACGAAACTGGTGGTATCCACACTTTGACGCCCCTTATCAGTTCTTATCAGTTGCTACCACATTCGTTCACTCAACTTCTTGGTCCCCGCCTCACCCCACATATCATACATGAGTGCAAACTCTCCACTGTCAACGCGAACGGCGTAACGAAATTGGTGACATCAACATTTCGACGTCCGTTATCAGCTCCTATCAGTAGTTATCACTTCCCGCCACCCGTCATCAGTGTTCACCTCCGGCCCCCTATATATCCTAGAAGTTTGAGCGCTCTGGGTCCAAAGGGGGTGAAGTTATGAATTTCCGGTCAGACACACACACAACCGCTTAGCCGATTATATATAGCAGTAGGATAGTAGGATAGTGGTAGTGTAGTAGGATATTTGAGCGAAGAATCACACAAGCAACGAGGTATTGTATTTAACTTTCGAGCTATTGTATTTTCGCTGCATTTCAGTCAGGCTAGAACTTGCTTTTGATGCCTCCATTTCTAAGCTGAAAACCTGTCAAAAATGCAAGCGCTGCCAACATCTAGATCTAGTTAACCTCCTAAATTTATGTAACAACGAAAACTCACCAATGAATTTTTTTTGCCAAAATTTGCACAGAAAT